CCCTCACTCAGTTATCAGTGTCAATCCTGAAACGATGAGGAATAGTTGGGGGCACTGATGGACACTGGCTATTAGTTTCTTTTGTCCTGGTAGAACTAAGATTCCATTTTCTTATAGTAGCAAATATTAACCCAATGGAAAAGATAAACATCAAAACAAAATTGATTCCTTAAAAAAGGCCTGTCATTCTTGATGTTTTTCCAGCAATATATTTAATCCCAGTGTGCACAAGTTAAAAAAACATAAAAAAGCCCTGGCCTGGTGGCTCAGTCAGTTGGAGCATCGTCCCATACACCAAAAAACGTGGGTCTGATTCCCAGATTCCCAGTCAGGGCACATGTAGGAGGCAATCGATGAATGTTTCTCTCCTCCCACCTTCCTCAGTCTCTAAAAGGCAATAAAAACATATCCTCGGGTGAGAATTTAAAAAAGAAAAAGAAAACTGTTTTGCAGTGTTTCTCATTTCAGACAACCTCAACTCTGTTGAAGCTGGCCTGTCAGCATCTCAAATAATTTGTGAAAAATGGAATTTTCCTTGAATACCAAAAGAGTTGGGGACACAGAGTAAAAATTTATAGCACATATTATCAAAAAGTGACTTGTGATTTTCATCATGAGTGTAAAATAAAAGGATAAGAACTACTTTTATTCACAACCCAACCCAGCCGCTAAGCGGAAAGCAGTCTTTGGATGTAGAGACCTGCTTTTCTGACAGTCCAGCTATGAGACCTGGCTTGCCATCAGCCTCCGACACTATCACTGAAGCACAGAAACTCTGTTTCCGATTGGTTTACTTACCTCCTGGGGAGACAAAAGCAACTGAAAACTTTTTCTTATTTTTCTTTTTTTAAAACTAAAAACAGAAGGAAGTGTGTTAGAAAAAACAGCACAGAAAAACTGTGGCTTCAGCTCAACCTGACCATGTCACAGAGTCCATCACTATCAGTCCTGAATTGATCCCGCTGGTCCAGCTAATTATCAGGACAGTCAATTTCTCCTTCCTACGTTCCCTTATTCCAGATCAGGGCCTGAACGCGGTAGTTGTCGAGAGTCCCTGGAGGTGTCCCATCAATGGAAAGCATACAGCAGCAATAGGATGGTACAGACACCAATAACACCACCCAGGATGAGTGAGTCTCGCCGCTTCCTAAGGTTGATTCGCTGGATCAGGCTGTTTACAGCAGGAAAACGATCTTTGGGAAATCTTTATTAAGGTCATATTTGGAAGCTTCTTTAGTGAAAAGTCTCAGAATTCACAAAAACAGAGATCAGTAGAGTCCAGAAACAATAAGTAATGGGGGGGGAAATCACACTGAGGGCATGCATCCATTAGCAAACAAAACTGGAAATGTCCAGGTCCCAAACAAATTCAAGTCTCCCTGCACACTGCAGTACACAAGTAAGAATAAAAAGAAGTAAC